ATCTGTCTTTTGAATCTCTCTTTACTCCCTTCTTTTGCATTGTGTGCTACATGGAGAGAGTATGGTAGCTCGAACTGCTGCATATCTGCGCAAAGTTCTATGTTGGAACCAGTACATTTTTAGCCAACTAATCACCTGGAAACGGTAGAATGGTGATCAATTCACACAGCATCATTCAAGGGTGAAGTATAATAGTGTTTTCTTCATTCTTGGCAACAGTAAGAAATATACAGCTGAGAATGAGGAATGAGGTGGGTTGAAAAAGTATCTGTTTTATATGGTCCATATTGTACAGCTTTCCTACTTACCCTAGTGGCGGAGTTCATAATGTTATTACACTATAACCATGCGACTTTTATAACCTAACGAGTTTCAAATCGGAAAAATACACATCGTAGATTCCACTTTCAAACACTGTCAACTAGATAACATCGTGATGTCACTTTGTTAGATAATGACTAACACTGCAATCCAAAATGCGCATTTCGCCCTTTTCGAGCTTCATCATCTGGATGTACCTGCGATTCCCTGAACTAAGAGTCGCCATATGTCAACGAAAGGCTGAACATTTCAGCACAATTGGTCATCAACCAGAGGAAACGAAACTAACTCAAGCAACTAGGCAATATCATGGTTGAGTTCAGATATTGGTCAAAGGAAGTCTCTGCATTACGAGGCGAGAAAGTTTAATAGAGGTGTAGTACTTCGGTCCAACAGAAACAACAGTTAACATGCGATTCAGTAAAACTTCAACAGCCTCTGACCTTTCGTATATATGCTTCATCTGGATAGACTCTGAGCATTCCATTTACTATTTCATAACCTTCATCTCTGGCCAGTCTATAAATTACACAGAGAAAACCCAAAAAATGAATGGAATGAAATAGACTTATATACATATATAAGTAGTATATCTGTGTATACGATAAAAATTGTCGTTTTCATAAAATATACGTATATTTATATCGGTTAGGCAATGGACTGAATAAAGCAGCTCAATACTAATTCACATTGTCGAAACAGGATGACATTAGGTTGACAATATCAAAGCTTTTAAAGTTATTCACCATATTTCATCAACCTTTTCTAATGCTTTATGAGTTAGACTACTGCATGCATCACACGCGAACAAGTCTGAACAAGTCAAATCTGTGTGTTGAAAAAAAATTTATGCACAGCCCATTTCTTTGTCATCACTTTCCACATAACATGAATAGAGTGAACAGAGAGAGAACGAACGTATTTACAGAGTGAAAACAACTTATGTTTCCACCTTACAGGTTTTCATCAGTTGCTAACAGCTTAAAAGTGACATAAATTATTATAAATGCTAAAATATACAACGTGCTACAAAATTAATTGAAAATTCCAAAGGTATAGTAGTGGAGTCTTCCAACTTACTTCTACTTACTTTTTTATCTTATTCCATTCCCATCCTCTCCTCTGGAACGTTCCACCACACTATGCACAAATAAACTCTAGTTGTCAGATTGCCGAATATCTTTCCTTTAATTGTTGGTTTGCAGGGATTTTGATAGGGTTACAGGTTTGATTACAAGCTAATATGAGATAGAGAACCACTGGAAAACCAGAAAGGAGTACTGGACAGCTGTTTTTGTTCCTAGCTTTGGACTCCTAAAGAGATCGTAACAACCAGGCTTCGAACCCATAACCTTCCTGTTGCAGAGCCAGCTCGTAAGTTACTCAGTCAATGAGATTCGATCCAATGGTCCATTCCTTTCCAACGGTTCTCCAAGTTATGTCAGGTCTTGATCAAAGCTTTAATCAACCAATTCCCTGCAGGCCGAAATTTGGAAATTAATCTGATGCTCACTAGCGACTGGCCATATACAAAAAGTTCGCTTGTATTTCTGGTAGGAAGTCGCAACTAGCGGGATCCTCGAAGTCAGTTTAGAGGACAGTTACTCGCCCCAAACACTGTCTGAATTTTGTGCTGAATATCTTTCATTCGAATTTGTTGTCCTACAAGCACACCTTTTGAGCTGAAATAATTTTGGAGTGTGTTGAATATTCTTTTCCCACTCAATTTTAGATTGAAAGGTGGTGAAATAAAAACATGAACTGTTGTATGAAATATGAGTAGAGTCCTGCAAATTGATTTGCCCGCCTACCTTTATAACGAAATGCGTAGTTCAGCAAAGAATCTCTTCTCTCCGGTGAATTCATTCACTTAGCCAGCTGTACAACCGCAATTATATATACTCATTCTTGTATATGTGTGCTTACACTAGGTTTGTCCGATAAGGAGAAAATGAGTTAGGTTTATTGTTTTCAAGACATCTCAAAAGTGTGATGAGTAATCAAAGTGTAACTAGGATGCGGTGGGTTTAAGATTGGTAAAGGCGTGGTGGTGATGCTTTGTCAAAAAACATAGTTATTAATGTTAATAAACACATAAAAGAGGTTGAGTAAGCGAATACAGCCATGTAATAAGATGAATAGTTAAATGAGTCAGTTGTAATTAGGATGCACACAAAAACAAAGGAAGATATTGAATTATGTAGGAGTTCTAACAATTAAAAATGTTATAAGGAGTTAGAAAATCAAACATCAAGTCAGTAGAAGTCAACACGGTTGTTACCATGATAGTAGAAGTGATTGGACGGTTTTCTTTTGCATACATAACTTTGGCTTTTTTTCGACTGAATGGCTAAGGCTTCAGCAACAGAAAGGAGGACGCGATAGCACATTGCCTTTGGTAGGTTGTTCTTCACTTTGTAAATCACTTTGAAGGAGGTGTTTGTTGAGACGGAATGACCAGTTTTGACGAGATGTTCAATTATCTCACTCGTTATGCAGCCAACTATTGCCTTTTGTAGCCATGTATTACGCTTAGCTAAATTTTAAGTGTTTAGTAACACTAATAACTACGTTTTTTAGACAAGACATCGCCACTACCCTCTTACCAATCTTCACCCCGACCCAGGCCTAGTTACAATTTGATTATTCATCGCATTTTTGAAATGCCTTGACAATAATAACCCTAACTTATTTTCATTCTTATCGGACAAACCTGATGTACACACGAATACAAAAATATATACATAATTGCTATTCTACAGCTAAGTCAATGAATTTGCCACGAAAAAGTGACTCTTTTCTGAACTCCATGTTTTGCTTTTATCACTGTCTGGATGGGGATTATTCAGGAATCCTTTTAACTATTATTTGACACTGTAATGTCATTTTATTATGATTACTATTCTAGCTGACTACATAACTCATCTCTGTATTGTTCCCCGTTATCCTTATCCTACAATTTACTGATTGTGTAATAAATTGTTGCTAGCTTCTAAAAATAAACTGCCCTTGAGTTCCGTTATTAATTATTGGCTACACGTTTTCCCCTCCCTTTCAATGAGCCTGCAGTCTAAGCAGTATTCAAATACTAGATGTGGGTGGAATTCGGTACATAACTCGTGCAGAGCACCCATAATTCCACCTATATACTATGGAATCATCTAACTGGTTGCTCAAGGTCATTAATCCGTTCACTATATAGTTTGGTTTTGGTTCAGAGTCACTTCTTGTAGACAGGAAATACATATCTACTCATAATTAGTTTACGTCAGTGATGCAGTGTAAGGCACGTACGCCGTCTGGGTTCGATTCCCGGCCGACGCACTGCTAGACTTCAGTTAACCGGTAATAATCCCAGTAATGACAAGAGGCTGGGCGTAGAGCTAGTGATCCCATACCATAAAAGAAATACAACTGCTACTATAACTTTAAAACTTAAGCTTGAAGCCCTGCATTTCACTCGGAACCCAAAGAAATGGATAGAATAGTTATTTTAATTCATCTTAACCACTATGCTGCCTTCAGCTAGACTTCTTAGACGTTTAGCAGTCCTTTTGATATTTGCCTATCCTTAGTTTGCATTCATGGGGTTTTCTAGTTGATTTTGTGTGAGATGAGTCAAGCGACAATCAATTTACTAACTTTAACATAAGCAATTAAATCAGTTCAAGTTCTGCCTTATAGGAGTTTGATTGACATCAAGTCAGATTCCAACACGAACCGACATAAGTTAGAGAACCACTGAGAAATAAGTGGTCCTGTTTCTTCCTGTGCAGGACTCCTCAGTAGTATGCACCAACGACCTCAATGGCTACCGAGTCGAGCACCACTAGGTCACCAGAGCAACAAATTACTGTCCAGCTAGTGAAACGAGATTCGTGGTCCACTAGACACTGGCTGACTTTTGAATTCATGGAAAATTGAATGCTAGAACAATGGCCGACTGACAACGTGCTAGCTTCGTAACCTACAGGCTTTACTTCCAGTTCCCAGCAGATTCACGGGACTATTCCCTGCTGAATATGTTTCAATAGTTCTCTAACTGATGACGGCATGTGATGAAATCTAATAGGAGGTTAAAGAGTTTACATAGAAATCTCAGGGAGACATCCACCAAACAGCAGGAACAATAACAGTTAAAATCGTTTGCACGCCTAAAATAACAATAATTTGATAACACCAGTGTATTTGTTGTGCGTCGGTGGCACAGTGGTTAGTACGCTCGCCAGCCATGCACATGGTCCGGGGTTCGACCCCCGGCCGGCGCACTCCTTTACCTCAGTAAGCCAGAAATAGAGCTGGTAAAGAGGGAAGTTTGGGCATGAGGTTAGCAACCCCATCCCGTAAAAATGAACACCACTGCTACTGAAACTTCAAGCCTCTAGCTTGAAGCCCTATGTTCCACTGGGAACGTAAAGAAATAAAAAATTAAAAAAAGTGTATTCGTTACGACGACCAAACGTCGAAAAGATCTGAACAGGACATACCATCTGGCTCAAATGAAATTTCCTACAAATTCTCATCGAAAACTACATACAGAATTCACTTCTTGGAGAGAGAGAGAGAAGAAGCATTAAAGATAACGCCCAAGCCTAAATGAAAGCCGAAAATCTAAAAACTCTACATTCTGAAATATAAATACCCACCAAAGCTATAAAGACATTCACCACATGAGGTACTCACTTTAATTCATTTACAGAACCTTTTGAAACATACCAAACAGCATGATAATTTAATGCATTGATTGAATTTAAACTGTCAGTGAACACTGAATCTTGTCTCATATTATTCCAACATAACAAATGAATTGGTTCATCAAGCATAATCTCTTCTTCAAAATACACATGATACATTTGAATTGGTGAGATATACTTATAAATGTAAATAATTATGAGAGAAATATTTAATTATAATATTACCATTTCAGACCTTAGTGTTGTTGTATAGCCTGTAAGACTAGTGAATTGTTCAATATTCAATGGCAAATAATCAATAATGGTGGATTTCAAATTCGTGCGCCACATATCGCTCATATTGTTGTTTAAATTGTAATGAACATAATATGATTTTGAAGATGCTATGATAAGCAGTAAATTTATAAGTTGAAAATAAAACAGTATTTGACATTTGATGAAAGGATAACTTTCAATGTTCATCAGTGTTCGTTGAAATTGGTGAATATTGTTACACCATTGTGTACCTCGTCAAAAATATAATACCTTGAGAGAGAAGTGAAAAATGTCAAGTGAATAAAGAATACGATTAAGTTGTAGGGTTATAAGAAAAAATATTCAGTGTAAAAAGCACAACTGATAAATCTCACTGCTGAAGATACCTCATTAGACAAAACATTGACTAAACAGCTATTATATCCCACGCAGTCATAGAGGAAGTAACTTGCAACGCAAATATCTCAGCAGTAACAATCCCATGACTTAGGCACTGAATGATACGAGTATAGAATTTATGAGGCGATGTCAGTTCCACTGATACTGTGCACAGATCTTTCAAATGAGTATCAGTAAAGGCGAAACTTATCTCCCTAGAGATTTAGTGCGTAGCTCTGTGGATATGTCAGCTCCTTGGAGGGACTCTTCGATGGTGTCTAATGGTAACTAGCAGCTGATATTTCAAAAGAGACCAAGTATTCCAGTGTAATATAATCAGTGAATGAGAAACATAGTTTACCTTAAATAAATAGGCTTTAAGTGTATCCTGAAGCTTGCAGTGGTCCAAACCTGCAGAAATTAGCTTAACTGTTTTCCAACCTGATCTTAGTATATCTAGCGTTGTTCATCAAGTTAGCCATGCTAAGCACATATACCAATCTCTTCATTGGATACATTTTGCACACCTTCCTCGATTTGAAGTGCTTTCCTTACCTATCACTGAATGTGCAATCGTAGGACTACTCAATATCTGATCTGCTCTACTTCATTCAGGCTACGAAGACACTTAGCACCGAAAATCTAATATATTTGTGGTTACATACGTCGCCAGTTAGGTTTTACAGATTTTCAAGTATTGGTTTTCAGGGATTTTGATTGTTTCCAAGACTGATCATGAATTGTTTTCAGTAAGAGAACTATTGAAGACCAGGGAGTACTGGACAACTGTTTCACCTTTATTTGGGGCTCTTTAGTAGTACTCATCCATGACCCCACCAGGGACCGGAAATAGGACCTTCAGGTCATAAGGAGAGCCCGTAAGTAGTTCGGTTACCATGATCGAATCCAATGGCCTGTCAATTCTAATTTCTGTGAATTTGCAATACATAGCTGGACCAGCGGCCAATGTCATCGGTAAGTATTTCTCCTCATATACAAATTGGTGGATCCCGTCGTTCACAACTTCCTACAAGAACGGGGTCCATTAAATTATGTTGAAGGACAAAGACTCGCGGACGAAACTGGCCGGTGGTCTCGTAATATCGCCAGTTAGCAGATATTAGAATTGATGGGCTGCTGGATTCCGTCCCATTAGCTAAATACATACCACAAAAAAGGAGGCCTGTGAATATTACGCTAGCTGTTTGTAATTAAAAACGCTAACAAACAATCATTCCTGAAACTTTATCTGAATATGGTTATAGAATAGCCCAGTCTATCTATAACTCTCCTTGTTCATATTATTATTACTGTCTCCTTTATTCCCTGGAGGAACATAGGGCTTCAGCCGCATGTCTTTAACCCGTTTGGTTCTCCGCCAACCTTTTCACCCGGCTCCACGTCTGCCCACTTGCTCTCATCTCCTCTTCGCATGACTTCCTCCATGTCACAGTAGCACTGACAACCAACTCGCCGCTTCCCATTCGGGTTCCACTCGAGCAATGGCCTGGCATGTGATATCACTCACTTGATGGTTTTCTCAGAGCATGACCAGTCCAACTCCATTTCTTCTTGAATATTTGTCGCACAAATGGTTGCTGCTAGGTTGGTTCGTTCACAGGTATCCCTGTTGCTGATCTTTCCTGGTCATCTGATCTTGAGTACTGAGCGAAGATAGCTGTCGATGAAGGTCTGTAGTCTGTTCGAAGTGCCGTTCGTGATGCGCCAAGTCTCTGACTCATATAGTAGCGCTGACTTCACATTAGAGGTGAAAATCCGGATTTTGTTTTTCATGCTGAGTGATGTTGCTCTCCACACAGACATGAGAGTAATGAAAGCTTGCCTTGCTATCCTGATCCTCGCTTTGATATCCCCATGAGTTCTGCGTGTAGTTGAAATGATGCTTCTCATGTGGGTAGGTGAAGGAAGTCGCTTCTTTCAGATTTCTCCCATCTATGCTGATCGTTGTCTGTTGTTGTTGTTGCTGTTGGTGGCGTTGCCTAGGAATCTTTATTACCTCTGTTTTCTCTATGTTCACCTGAAGGCCTATCTTCTCTGGGTGCTTCTTCTACCAACTTGTTGCTTTCCCCTTACATATCTTCCAGTTTGTGGGAAATCAGACAGATATCATCGACGAAGTCCAGATCCTCCAAGTTTTTTGTGGGGGTCCATTTTATGCCTGTTTCCTCGTTGTTCGTTATCTGTCGCATTATCCAGTCTACCGCCCGTAATGAGGAAAATCACCAGAGATAGTAGACAGCTAGCTTGTCTTACTCCCGTTTTCACTTCGAAGGATTCCATAAGTTTCCCGTTGTGGATTACTTAGCATGCAGCATTATCTATCGTACAACTGTTGGATGAGATGTATAATTGTTGGTGGCACCTTGTAGTAGCGAAGAATTTTTTCCAAATCACCTCTCAATCGACACTGTTGAAGGCCTTTCCAGAGTCAATTAAGTTGAGGTAGATAGGTGACTGTCATTCCAAGCTCTGTTCAATGAGGATCCATAATGTTGCGATATATGGATATATATACATATATTTATATATAATCATAAGTAACAAAGTACATAAATAAATAAGTACAAAGTGCTGCTCACCTAAACTAATGTAAACATAAATTCTGTTTCGTACGAACTAACATATTAACGTATAAGTCAATGTAAGGAAAATTAATCAATAAATATACTTTCAAAAGTAAATCAGATAGGCTAAGTGAACATATATATATGTATGTATATATATATATATATATATATTCATTCTTGATCTGCTTTCAACATAAGGAACAAGATGCTTATATTCATCACTGACGTAATGTTAGTCACTGCTTCTATATGTTTCAGAGACCTCATGCGCGCCTCACAAGAAGCGTCTCCAGCAGGCTGCAGTGGACTTTCTGGTTTCAGATTCTAATTTATTGATTGAGGATAGAAGGCTTGTAGCCTATGTTAATCCTTTTCCAGTAAAATTGCTGTGCTTGTCCAAACCCTTCTTGAATGAATCACTTGAGGGCGCTGACACCGCTTCTTCTGGATGTCGATTCCAGGATTTTATGAATTGGTGTGAGAACCAACGCTCCAGAGCAATACTGTTCATTCTTGGCTTTTGAACACACCTGCTATGTCCTCTTAGGTGTTCCGACTGGCGGAAGGAAAAAAGAGAATAGGTCAGGTCCATAGTCATTATTTAAAATTTTAAACATTGTAATTAAATCTGCTCTTTGCCTACCGCGGTATTGTAGGGAGAAGAGATTTAAACTGTCTAGTTTTTCTTCGTATGATAAATTAGTCATGCCGAGAACCATACGTGTTGCCTTCCTTTGAACCCTCTCTGGAATATGTGAGTTACCTTTAAGACAAGGACTGGCTGCCTGAATACAGTTTTCCAATCTTGACCTCACCAGAGATGTAATATAAGGAGGTAAATATACCTCTGGTGATTCTTGTAAAGGCTCTGCGAATTGCCCATAAGAATCTGAAACTATATGCAGCCATTGTGAGACAATGTGGTGCAGCTTTTAAGTCGTGACTTACTGTGACACTTTTGAGCATGATCCCAAGTCTAACTGTTATCAATATTTAGTTATTAATACTATTTTGAGCAATTTTTTCGTAAGACATTTGTTATCATTCTCCTATCTAGTTTTCTATTTACTGTAGTCACTTACTTTGCGATTCATTTCGATACGAAAACAAAACACGTAGTTCAGCGAAGAGTCTTTTCGCCGGCGAATTTATTTTCTTAGCTGTACAATAGCAAATATATATGTGTTATTTTGTATGTATGTGTACAATAATTTTATCAAACAAAAATACAATTGGTTATAGTTATTTAAACTAAACAGGTGAAGATTGGTAATTGGAGTTACGTAATACAAAAGAAAGGTCAAGAAAATTAGGTGTTAGTGAAATTAGGGTAGTAACAAAGGTGATGAGTTGTCACAAACGGTTGTTAAAAGAAGTTATGTAATAATATGAATAGTTTGATGAGTGAGTTTTACTCAGGATACACATAGGAACAAAGTAGACAATACGAAATTACGTAAGAGTTCTGAATGAATACAAGAATTATAAGCAATTGAAGAACAGGCAAAGAAACAAAATTAAGTCATCAAAATCAAAAAAATCAAATCAAAAAAGTTGTTACCAAGACAGTAGAAGTGGTTGAGTAATCCTCTTTTGTATGCACAGCTCCGGTTTTTCTATGTGAATGACCAGAGCTTAGTGATACAAAGAAGACGAAACCGTATTGCCTTTGATAGGTTATTCTTGACTCTGTAGATTACTTTGAATGAGGCGTTTGTTGAAATGGAATGATCAGTATTAACCAGATGTTCAATTATCGCACTCCTTATTGCACCACTATTGCCTTTTCGCAACCATGCTGGATAGTGTTCTTGAATCCTCTTGGACAGGGTGCGCGTCGAACGACCAATGTACCTGGCTCCACAGCAGCAGGTAAACTGACATATGCACATAGAAGTGGTCAGATGCGGGATCTTGTCCTTGAGGCTTCTGCAGATCAGTGGGCGACTGGATACATGTCACCATACTCTCTGAAAGTTTTTAGTATTGCGGAAACCTGGTCTAGACTTACTAATCTTCAGGCCTCTTGTTAATTGCATTTTGACTGGTTACAGGATGGCATAGCGGTTAGGACACTCGCCGACCATGCACATGGTTCGGGGATCGATCCCCGGCCGA